CAAAAAAATATACGTATTTTGGAAATGTTGAGTCGAATTAGTCTAGAATCGATTAATTTTATGAAAGAAAACCTTTCAAACAGCCGTAGTCCGTAAACTATGATTCCTACAAAATTGATTCATAAAGAACGGAACGTATCTACCGTCTTATAGGGGGATCTACTGTATTGATTTTTAACATTATTTGAATTAAATAAGACTACGTGCAAGTAAATATAAATAACTATAACTTACCAGAGAGACGAGTCTCGGATACAAATAGCAAATGGTTCCATAAAGATCGATGCCATTTGCATTCAACATTGCCAGACTTCGTTCGTCGGCTGTCAAATCGGGACCTAAATGAAAAGATTTAACATTTTAATATATGACCAAATTAATAATCATTTCCACTTCTTTGTAAATAAGTAAAAAACGCTAAAAGCTAGATAAATAGTTGTTAATGTATCCACATTACTTAATTCTAGTTTAACACTTATCAAATGCATACAAAAAATTTTTAAAATGTGGACAATAGAAATAACAAAAAATCCTCATAAAAATTATCTATAACTAGCAGATGGGCCCAGTGTTGCTCAGGCAAAAAGTTATGATAGCAAAGATTAAGATTATTATGTTATAGTCAATCTTACCCGTTTTCAAAGAATGCAAGAATTAGGCACCCCTGTTTCCAGACTAATTAGAGAATTTTTAGATGGGTTAAAAAATGTTCGATTTCCCACAAAAACAAAAAAACTGCATCTGCATCTGTAAATTTTTCCCGCCACTTTCTCTTAACACTTCCATTGTTGATAACCTCACCCCCCCCCCGCTGGTGGAATTTCGAAAAATTCCTTCTTAGTGTATATTCTTGTGACATACCCTATTAAAACGCAATCAAAATGCAGAAAACTGCATCTGCGTCTGTAAATCTTGCACATTGCTTTCTCTTAACACTTCCATTGTCGAAGCCTTAATCCTGTCCCTTTTCCCCCAGGGGAGGAATTTCGAAAAATCCCTTCTTAGTGTGCATTCTTGTGATGTACCCTAACTATGTACCAAATTTCAACTCCTAACCGTTTGGGCTCTGCACTGATTATTATTATTATCATCAACTTGTCTTGATTTTATATATATATAAATATAAATATATATATATATAGATAACCATCAACACTTAATTATGTAAATTATCATAATAAAAAAACTAAAGTTTATACACTAACATTATTATTGTGGAATTCAATGTAAAATTATAACTGTAACTATTTGTTCATGAATTCATGATAAAGCAATAATGTAGTAGGTCCAAATACTGTCCCCCAAGGGATTCCCCCTTACAGTGTTATTATTTGCTTAGATGTATATACAATATACATCAACTTAGATGTGTGAAAGAAATTTCTTGATAGTGTATAAATGACAAGGAGGAAAAAAAGGCAATTAAAACATGTCTATTTTATTGGGAAAAAGTCATTCCCAACACTATGCTCCCTTGGACAATATTAGGAACATAACTAATGTTTTCAGGTCAGAAAATAATTACTGTAGAAAACAGGAAAGTCACAAGAGATCAGGTTGGGGTTGTTTAGCAGTTGTGGTACATAATTGATTATTTTGGACTAGATATAATATTGTGACATTGTAGAAAATGAGCAGAATTCATGTGGACAATGTACTCTCTCAAAGTTGAGATATGATTATATTTTGTGTTGAGAGCATTAGCGAAATTGATTTTTTTCTTTGTAGCTAGAGAACTTTGAAGTAATAAAGGTTACTTCTTTTTTATCCCTTTCAAGTTAGTATCTAATTTTCTTTACTTTAGTTACATCACTAATGCATTAAAATTTAAGTGTTTTAAAAATTTTCAGAAGATTACTGACACAACACTGACATTTTATTGTATCTGAGTGGGAGTCTCACAGGGCATGTAACTCAAAATAACAACGTAACTCTGAAATTGCAAAATGTTCAGCAGGCAATACGAAAATTTGTTTCGGGCAATTGTGGCTGGGGCCACGCAGGCGAGGGTTTTGGGGAAGTTTGATCCCTTCAATTTGTTGATTGTGGCAGCTGTACCAATGCCAGTTTCTGTTATAAAATTTGCAGACACTTCGAGGCTGCCTTTTTTTATAACGGAGGCAGTCACAAAAGGCAAGTTTCTGTTGTCAAAGAACGTAGCCTAACGGAGACTCTGAAGGCCACTTCATGAGACTGTGCACTTTTACGGTAGGCTTCCCCATAGTATTTCATGAGTTTCTAAGACTGTTTTTCTTAGAAAAATCAGAATTTTATGGCCATTCCTCTCTTCCATTTTCTTCAAGGCAAAATGCAACTACATTTTGCCATACAAAGGCTATTATAATGCTACCATTTGACAATATTATATAGGAAGACTTACTCTTTTCAAAGAAGGCCTATAAAAGTCAGAGTAAAACATTTAATAAATTGAAACTGGTTTTATTTGTAAAAGTCTTTACTGATCAACCCTTGTATAAACATTAAATTTTTAAACAAAACATATAGAATAAATTCACCCATGTTGGGAAGTACAAGAGAAAGTTCAAATAATATAAAAAGGATTATAATGATCAACAAAAATAACATTTGAACTTGGTATGATATTCAAAAAGGAAAGGAAAGGAAAAAATGCTTGATTCAGGAAACCAAATTAAAGGTTTTTACTCAGCTGTGTTAGAACAAATACATTTGAAAGAGAGAATGTCTCTACACCCAAACTTTTTCAAATTTAAAAATTATAACCTAAATTATAATTATTTCATCAATTTTTAACTTATGTATAAAGTACCCCAAAATAAATTAAAACAGGAAAATAAACAAACCGAATTAAATATAACAGTGTAATGTTAAATACAGACTTGCAGCCACCCACAATATGTGGCCTTCGACAAACACACCCCACATATTGGTGCTTGTAGATAAAGCTGAAAAGGAATTTTTGAATAAAAAGTTACAATCATAAGAGTCTTAGTAGTAATAACATTCCTAGTTTGTCTTAAAACATAGCCCATTTCATCTAAAATGAATTGTCGGCAGTTTGCTTGTCAAACTATAATACAGCAGCCTTATTGGATGACGTGCCAAAAAGATGATTCACAAAATTGAACTTGATGGGTGCCGATCCACCTATTAAATCGGTTTGACTTAAGGAGGGATGACATTGAGATACACAAACTTTTGTTTGCCTTAGAGAACAAAAACACATTATATTATATAGTGTGTTTGGCAGGACTGACAATCCAGTTTGATTTAATAATTTCCCTCATATGAAATAATCAAACAATGAATGAAAATTTTTAGGTTTCTTGAGATTTCTTGCAGTGTTTGCACAAAGACCACAATAAAAACTACCAGACATGTAATATACCACAACGATTTTTCGCATCTAACAACACTGTGACTATTCTCTGCCGTTGGTAGTCTTGGCTTTCATTGGTTTCTTTCTCTTCCCCAAGATGATGATCTAGATTGACAAAGAGATTTGAAGCAATCGAGACAGAGTTGCAAATGGCATTAAACAGATAGACAAAGAAAGAATTCCACATATGGCAGAAACATCAGGATCATTGCGTAACTTCAAGGTATATTTTGAGGAGATAACGAGGATAAAACAAAAATAATCATCACAGTTTGAGAATATTTAGATAGATACAGATAAAAGTTATAAGATACTATAATTTGATAATTAAAATAGTAAGAAAAATATATTATACATACCACCACTAATTGCATCACTCTTCAAAAGACAATTTATATAAAGTGGCAATAATTTCAAGTTTTCTGGCAAAAGTATTTGACCGTAGGACAACTGAGACGTGCATGCCTTCTTGAATGCAGCCAGCATGCCGACCACAGAATGCCCGATACTTTCCTTAACCTGTTGTGGAGGTTCTTCTAACAAGAGTTTCAAAGCTACAAAATAATAAAACAGAATATAGACAACCTTAGTTTAAAAAAAAAACTCATTTACTATAACTCACAAAATACACTGTTAGCAAAAAAATATAAGCTTTGTACAGTATCTAAAATAAGAAAAACACACAAACTTTTATAGAAAAGACATATCTTTATTTTTAATTTTTACATATACATAATATCTTGTAAAAAATTTATTTATTACTGCTATTTCAAATCACGTAAAATATGAGTGTGTACTTTAATATAATTTTAAAGAAAATCTGTATAATGAATAAATAGTCAACCCTTGTCATTCACATCATCAGTATTTGTGACTTTGCTTATAAACAGAAAAATTACGATTGACTACAAGACCATTCATAAATTGCTTTCACAATATTCCCATTACAGACAGTTCTTGTAAAAAATGTACTGTTATTTCCAATTTTTACAATTTTTATAAAAGGTACAACTGCCATACACACATTACAGCAATCATGCTTTTCATCAAATTATGGCTGACAAAATTTATGTAAATAGAACATATACATGAATTAGTGGTCATCTTTTATATCATTACACAGAACTAATAGATAGTCATCAAGGGGCGGTAACACATAGGCAGATGTCAAGAACATATTCTCTGTAGTGGATAGTTATGGAACCGAACACGACGGTTACAGAAAATTTGCACAACGGCAAAGAGGAAGACAACAAACAAGAAAAATTGACAGAGTGGCCAACAACAGTTTGAGCTTTAGGAAATATATGGCATTACTGAATCATTTCCTGCAACTCCTTGCACAAACTGACCTTATTTCCAGGCTCAATCTCAACTTTAAGTGGAAAGTAGCCGGGGTACCATATGCCAAAGTGTCGGAGAATGCAAATAAAAGTCAGTTGAGTAACATTAACCAAAATGCCTTAAAATGTACAACTAATGTTTTTAATATAATTAAATATATGATTAAAATAAACTTTAGTTGCTATTATTTGCTTATCGAAACCATTTGAAAAGGATAAATATTCCCAAAACATCCACATACTTTAGCTCTAAGATGTCAGCTCAACCCACAGAAACCTAACTCGTTTTTTTATACAGTGGTACCTCAGGATACGGACGCCCCAGCATACGAAATTTTCAGGATACATGAAATTCGAACACATTTTTGCTCCACAATACGAACAAAAACTCACCATACAACGTTAAATTAGTTCACAGTGCCATTTTTTATTCACTTCTGTTCATCGGTCTCAGTCCGTGCATTTGCTTCATCGTGGAAGGATCTCACTCAATAAAGGAAATCTTGAGGTATTATCAGAAAGTGACTGATTTTATTGAAAAGAAACATCCCGAAAAGGTTCACATTGGCCGTATTGCTGCTCGGAGTAATGACATTTGCCTAAGTCATTTTAGAAACATTTTAAAAAGTAGGCAAAGCCAAACCTCTTTGGATAGATATTTTACCAAGCGACCTCTATCCAGTGAAAGTGCTGGTGGAAGTGAAGGAAAGAAAGCAAAAAGTAGTGAATAAAAAATTTTAAAAAATATATAAAACAGAAAAGTTAAAAATTAGTGTTAAGTTATTTTTACATTATGTTATGTAAGTTTTAGTATTATTTTCCTTCTCCCTCTCCTCCACCACCAGTTTAAACCTCCATCCTCAAAGGTAAAGTGCAAATAAAACTACATTTTTTAAATCAATTATTATTCTATTATGGTTATTTATACATTTACAACTACAAAATGCATTTTTCAGTGTTTTTCTTACTATAGTTATTTTTTTAATGTACTACTTAGCTTTAATTTGTGTGTGTTTTTCGTGTTGGAATGAATTATTTGGTACATGTAATCATATGGAGAAAAATGATTCATCTTACGACATTTTCATGATACGATCTCGGTTTCGGAACGGATTAATTTCGTATCCTGAGGTTCCACTGTATTTGATATTTTTAAGATTTCTAAGGAACCTGTTCATCGCAAATCCCAAGAGTTACCCAGACAAATTTTTTAGATTATATTCTTAAAAAATTAAGTATCTTGGATGTGTTTTTCACTTCTTTAGTTTCAATGGTAAAATTCAAAATTTAAAAATGTTCAAACATTTGAGAAGTTTCTCTGTGGTTTTAAGGGAAGTGACTTAATGAACAGAAAAGTCTTTAAAAAACAAAAAAAAAAAAAAAATATTATATTTAATTCTAACTTACAATAGTTGTATTATAATAATGCTTTTTAATACACTCACCTCTTTTAATAAAGAAATGAATAATTGCATCTCCAGAAGCACCCCGAAATAGATCCATCATCTGGGAGCAGGTGTTCAAACTTAAGTTGTGTAAGCGAATTCGACGCTGTCCGCTACAGCTCGTATAGAGGGTGGCGACCTGAAGATATGTTCCGGCCTCCTCCTGCAGTTTGTCATCGTATTTAATTTCTGCTGTGATACTTTTTTTATCATCCAGTGACGAAATTTCTAAATCCGTAGTATTTGCCATGTAGAAGTCACCATAAAAATTTGTGGCTCTAATACCTTAAAATAACAAACCTCAAATTATAATGAAATAAATAGTATAACTAATACACAATTTTTGCTTCATAATTTTAGCAATATTATGAAATTAGTAAAATTATGGTATATTTCAATTTTGGTAAGTGCAGCTTTTATGCAAAGTGACCAACTTGTTAATTTCTAATATCAAATTCAAAACTCTTATTGTAAAAACTATATAAATTAATAATTTGAATTTTATAGCATTGCAAAATCCACTATAATTCTTGACATATCAATAAGAAAATTTTTAATTAAAATTAAATAATAAAATTATTACTATTTCAATACTAAGCTAATGTTATAATTATGATATGGCATGTGTATGTTCAAAGACAAAAACTTCTGACAAACTTCACAGCATTAGAAAAAACTAAAAGTTAATTTCACTCTAAATTCAATTGTCATTGGTACATAAGACAATATCCATAAGATTTATAGTTACTGCCTTTATAACCAAAAATTCTACAAGGTAAATATGTTTGTGACACTTTAATGTTCTTTGAAGATGCAGATAAGAGTAACAGAGTTACAAAAACTAGGTAAAAATTTTGATCCTAAGAAAATGGAAAAACACAAATACTAAATAAAAATACAAACATAACATAAATCACCAAAGGTAAAAAATACACAGCAACAAAAGTATTACATAAAACTGCATAAAATACGAGGGGCGTCTGATATTAAAGGTACAGGCCAAAATTACACTAACATTTATAATTAAACAAAATGTTTAATACATTCCACAAAAACTACATTTGTTTATTTCTCAATATAATCACCACAAACATTGATGCATTTATCCCAGTGTGGGACTAGTTTAAACATCCCTTCACAGTACTGTTGCTTGTCAAGTTGCTCGAAGTAGTCCAGAACAGTATCTTCCAATTCCTCCTGATTTGCAAAACGTTTCCCCGCCAAAAATTTCTTTAAAGGGCCAAATAAATGAAAAATCCGACAGGGACTAAATCTGGACTATACTCCAGACGTCAAATCAAACAAAACTGGTTGGCAGAGTGGAATTGGGAAGTCCTGCATCATCCTCCACATACACCAAATTTAGCCCCTGTTGGTTTTCATTTATTTGGACCTTTAAAGAAATTTTTGGTGGGGAAATGCTTTGCGGATCACGAGGAATTGCAAGACACCATTTTGGATTACTTCAAGCAACTTGACGAGCAATAGTACTGTGAAGGGATGTTTAAACTAGTCCCACGCTGTGATAAATGTCTCAATATTTATGGCGATTATGTCAAGAAATAAACAAATAAAGTTTTTGTGGAATGTATTAAACATTTTCTTTAATTATAAATGTTAGTGTAATTTTGGCCTGTATCTTTAATATCGAATGCCCCTCGTATATAGAATGATAAGAACAAAATATATACAATTTTTACTTCTTTTTTATCAAAGTGTAAAATTAAACTTGTGCTTACATATACCAGAATATAAAACATTAAATGTTGCATACAGATAAGTTTAAAATATCTAAAATTGGTAAAAAGTGAGTCTTCTAACTGGCTAAGCCAATATATAGAGAAAAATGAACATTGTAATAAAAAGCTTAAGCGAGTTCTCTCAGAGGTAAAACAAGTTTTATTCAAGTATTTATTACATTGGAGTACTCTAATATTAAAGGTATAGGGCTATGAAGACCATTAAAATATTTATAGTATAAAAAGTGATCAAAATACTTATATATGATCAAAAAAATTTCAAAGACCAACATGAATACGCACTATCTCTTCAGGTGCATATTTTCTCTTTAATAAGTTAGTGAACTTATCAAGAAGAAAATAAACCTTATTTAAGTGGTGCACAACTTTATAAATTAGCATAGGAGAAGTGGATGCCCAAACTATGGGATCTCCGACTTTTTTCTGTGAAGGGCCACTGAGTTGTAACAGACAAGTCCAAGGCCAGATACAAAAATATAGTCAGATTTAAAAAATTTTTTCTGTGTAACAATAAACATAATTTAATATGTTCATTGTTACACAGAAAAAATTTTTTTACTGAGGTGAAACAAGTTTTACCTCAGTAGATAAAAGGATCCAGAAACCCAAACGGACAAGGATGAACTAAGAAGACATTGTAAGATCTACCATTCCAATTTTAAAGAAGAATTCTTTTAATCTTTATTGGTTTCTTGTGTTTTTAAGGAACGTTTTTAAGTGTAGGCAGTTGTGTAGCCTAAAAGGGAAGGTCCAGCTGTCTATGATTTGTTCTAGAACACTAAATAAAAATGATGATCATCTGAAATAATTTTTAGAGCAACTTTGTCTTTAATTTGTATAAAAATAATTTAATATGAAATTTGCAACTGCTTTTTCAAACATTTTAAAAATTGCAAATACGAGGCATGCTTTTTAATTAATAAGTAAGTACCATTTTGATATTAAAAAAGCACAAGTGTAATTCTTACATGAAAGCCTGTACCTTAATCTACTTTTCAACATAATTTCCTCCAATATGAAGGCACTTTTCATAGCATACAACCAGCTTCTGAATTCCATCCTCATAGAAACTTGGCACCTGATTTGCCAACCACTGTAGCACAGCCATTTTGATATCGTCATAGTGCTGACTGCTTAGATGCTTTTTCAACTGGAGGAACAAGTGGCAGTCACTAGGCACTAGATGAGAGCTATATGTAGGGTTGTTCCCAGCCATGTGATGTGATAAGGCCTCAGGTTCATTGAGCCATGTGTGAACGGGCATTGTCATGAAGCAACACAATCTTCTTACTGAGCTTGCAACGCCTTTTGTTTTAAATGACAAAATCGTAAAGCATCTGTTTTCTCAAACTTCTGCAACAATTTTCTGCACCAAGTCTTCAGTAATAACAGACGGTTGCCCACTACGCTCCTTGTCATGGACACTAGTATAGCCATCTTTAAATGCTCTAACCCATTTTCTTACATTCCATTGCTTATAACATTTTTTCTGTACACCTCACTAATCTGCCGATGAATGTCAGCAGCTTTCACATCTTTTGCATTAAGAAAATGAATCACCGTGCATACTTCATAATCGGCAGGATTTTCAATTGTCTGAGGCATTTTAACCTGTCCCGTGTTGTTCCCAATTATTTTTGTGTTGAGCTAATTTGACCCAACCTGTTGACCTTGAATATACTCATTTCTGCATCAGAATGTTTTTGATACTAGATGCAGCTATGCATCATAATTTTTATATTAAAAACAAAATTTGAAAGTTTTATATTTTTCAATATATTTATTTTGTTTGTGCAAAACAAAAAAATAATTTTTAATAATACAGTAGCCATGATTATTATGTAAAAAAATTTTTTGTTAGGCTTAACATCGACAAAAATTCAACATGGTGACCACATGCAATGGAGAAAACTTTCAAAATAGGATAGGTTAAACATACACAAACAAATGCTTCTGTAATTATGTCTGTGATTAGCCAACAGATGTAGGTACTCAGCAGGCATTCGTGGAACAGCGGGCAACGTGGAACAGCAATGAAGCAGTTCATGTTTTTAAAATGGTACTAACTTAAAAAAACACGCCTCAATTTTTGGTGCCCAATTTTAAAATCTCCTTTTGATATGGCTGGTAATGTTCAATATTTTGATTACACATATTTCATTTTTGCAAAGGTACAAAGAAGAAAAATATAAATTCTCTTCTGGTAGAGATTTGTGAAAAATTAACAAACTCCCTTCTTTAAATTGCTCTTTCAAAAAGTCATTTGTGAAATGTCTATTAATTCTAGTTGATTTTTCAAAAATTTATATGCCTTTAAACAAGCTTGAATGTCAATGATGAAACACAAGGATGAAAACGAGCCATGCGAGTCAGGTAAATGTGCTTTGGGACAGCATTTGGCAGCGGACTGTTGGTCAGAGATCTGTGCCATAGTCTTCTAGATTCTAAAAATTAGTAGAAAACAATGCATGTTTCTAGACAAGATAAAAGTAGTGTCTGCAAAGAATGCCAAGACATCTTGCAAATCCATTAATAATCTTAAAAGTATTACAGGGGGCATTTAGGAAAATATTATGCTGAGAACACACGTGGTTAATATTGCAACCACTTATTTTGAGGCAAGGCAAAGATGAATGCTGGATCGACAAAAAGCACATTGCCACAGTCTCATCATTTGTCATCTGATTGTGCTTACGAATCCATCAAAAAAGTGAATTAATGGTTGCAAAATGTACTAATTGCTATTTATTATTTTATTTTTATTAAAAACTACTAATAAAAGTAAATACTTTTTCATTACAAAATGAAAAGAAAATTCAACACAAATAAAAGCATAATCTTTTAAGTTACTGTTTTACTTGGAATTGCAACAATTTGTTGAAAATGGAGATTGTAAAAAACTAAGTCTATTGAACAAATTATAATTACCTGCACTGGTCCTCACTCTCATCACGGCATCAAACACAGTCGACCGTCTAATGACATTTTTTATGTCATCCACTAGTCTTTCCCCGTCGACACGAGTCTAAAATATAATTTTATGAACTCATTAGTAATTTAAATTTATACTTAAATTTATATTATATATCAAGAATTATCTGATTATATCAAATAAGAAAAGTATCCAATGATTCTTTAATTAATTTTGCTTTTTACTAGAATTCCATTGGCATTATTATACTATGGACAATATCAGTTATATCACATCTGGCTCCAAGGTTTTATCAAATAGCAACTGGCAAATTTTTTGCAAAACCAAAGTCAGAGATCAATTAAGAGTATAAACCTCTTGCTACTCTATGTCTAAAACACCATCTATTTTACTGTTTTATGTATTTTCTTGTTTAAACTATTTTTGTAAAATAAACAATGATAATAAATTTACACAGCAAAACAATTATTAAAATATACTGCATCATTAAAATGTAGAACTAATTTTTTTATTTATTTGAAAAATATGAATTTTAAAACCAAAATGAAATCTTTACAATTTGAAAAAAATATTTTTATTGTGTGTATTATCTGATAAGAGAATAATTCTATGCTAATACAAATCAACTGGATCTAACTGTAATAAAAAATGTTCACGAAACCTTTGTACCTCCAGTTGGAAATTCTTTTATTAACAACTAGTGTTTTTGATCTTAAACAGATCTCAGATATTTTCATTCTAATTCAGTTGTGTATTCAGACCTGAAGATCTGTTTAAGATTGAAAGCATTAGTTGCTAATAAAAAAAAGTGTAAACTGAAGATAAAGGTTTTACAGACATTTTTTATTACTGATAGGAAAATGAATTAATTTTATTAATTATGCAGTTTGTTATTTTAACGGCTTACAGATGATAGTGGTAAATCGACATTACTTTACCAAACTATGCTTTGCATTTTTAGAAAAATAATTTTTATTATACCTGAAAAAATGAATATTTACGAATCTGTCCTCCCGTCACACGACACAATTCTCCAATGGTGGCGACATCCACGTACGAGTTCGGAAATAAAAATAGATCGACAGAACAACCAGCAGCGACGCATTCTTCACCCAACTTAGTATAGTAAGGTATCTGTGGATTTGTAATCATCTGAAATTTGAAACATTGACAATTTGAATATTTAATATATTACATTGAATTGAGATAAATTGAGTTTATTATAAGTATGATATAAATTGTCCATTTTTGTTGTAAAATTTTAAACATTAAGACTCTCATCTTAATAATTATTTTAAAATCTGGTAATTAATTTGGTTCATTTCTGCATTTTTAAGCTTATATTTGTTGTATACATTCAATGTGTACTACACCAAGACAAAAGTTACAGCTGGCTTCACAAATACGGAAAACATTCAATGTTTCAACCTATCTTATTTCAAATTTTAATGTATAAACATTTCTTATTTTTAATCACTTGTTTTTAACATCCATTTCTGTCACATAAGATGGTAAACAATTAATAATAATTCTACTTTTTAGCATTTTTTATGTACTCTGACTTCCAATAGAGATTATATTTAACTTTCATTGAACATCTATAGTACTTTCTATAGATGTTCAATGAAAGTTAAATATAATCTCTCAAAATCATTTTAAAACATGAGAATATTATATTAAAAAGAAATAAATAAAATAAATAATATCACTGAGTGGAAAAGAGAATGTTATTTCATATTGTAAATGAAACAATGTAAACATTGGCATTGTGATGAAATTTAAAACAAGACCAAATTGCCCAGTTTATGAAACTAAAATCATTCTATTGCCTTGAAATGGTTACGCTCATCACAAAATGTCGTAGAGAAGGAAGAATTTTACTATACGATGTGACCCCAACATCTACATCATAGTTTCTACTAATCAGATGTCTCATAAATGCAAAACTGTCTCACACATTTGGTACAGTATGACAAATTTTTTAAATTGTTGTTTAATTGATGACTGCTGCTTGCTCTTATACTATTAATTTTTCTATAAAACTATTTGAAATGTGTCTACACTAACATAAATATCCAGAGCGGGACTCGAACCCGCAACCCCTGCTCGCCGTGCAGATTCATTGCCAATTATGCTACCCAGACCTCCGGTCCGATCTCCTCTTCCAGTATATATAAGCTTATGTACGACCATCAAAGGCCATTACAATGCTGGCTGGGGACACATCAAGCGTCCTGTAAACATCTCCAAAGGCAATGGCCGTCAATGGTTGTACATAAGCTTATATACACTGAAAAAAAGAGATTGAACCAGAAGTCTGGGTAGTGTAATTGGCAATGCATTTGCACGGTGAGCAGGGTTTGCAGGTTCGAGTCCCACTCCGGGCTGATTCTTTTCTTCCAGCTAGTTCTAAATTATTTAATTTATTTAATTAAAATTATAATTATTAAATTTAGCAAGAGATGGTGCCTAATGCGTAACTCTAGTACCAAATTATCTTATAAATTATTATTTGTTTAGCCGGTTCTAGCCCAATAATTCGGCTTTGGTTGGTGTATTGCTTTAATGTATAATGGGTTAGTTGATAAAGTTTGTTTAAGTTATATAAACAACAGAAAAGCAAATATTTCATCAAATCTCACATTTTTCTCAAGGTGAAATATTAGTTTATTCCAAAATTTAGTTTAGACAATGTTTATTATCATTGAGAATGTTGTTACAAGATTAATAAAACCATAATGTTCATAACAATATATTAATGTTCAAAAATTATAAAAGTTGTAATAGACTTAATTTAAAGTATGTTATAATAATTTTTAATTTGAAAAACACCACCTTTTCTTTTTCAGTTCCCAGTAGTGCACGATCTTCTCTATTTCTGAGTTTCCCTGGTGCTTCCGCAGTAGGCAGAGTAGAATGAAAAACAAATAGTTTCCCACTACGGTCGGCTGCCTGAAATTTAGAAAATAATTTAAACATTACAAAAGTTAAATAAAACATTGTTATTATCACATCAAACAAATAATCTCGACAATTGACCAATATATTACAAATGAGAACCAAAGGATGATTTTCATAAAAACTCAAAGCTGGTTCCTTCATCATGAAATGATAATGTTGTCAATAAAAATTGTTACACCAAGGAATTACATTTACTAAACACTCTTTTCAATGTAAGTTGTTAAGATTATTATTACTATAGTACAATTGGCTGATTTATTTTGTCTATGAAAATGTATCCACGTATCAGCATCAAATGTACAGTACCTGTACCTATGCCAAATAAACCTATTCCAAATACTGTTGGATTTCTTGAACTATAATTATGTACATTTTCAGATTTAACATATTATAATTTCTTACAAATAATCCATAATTTATCTGTTTTAAAGCAAGTTTGAAAGTGGACGAGTTATGCACTATTGCAAATTATCAGATGATTTTAAATTGTAATTTGAACCCATACTTCAGCTTTTCCTTTGTCTAAATTTATCAAGTGTTTTTAAAACATTGCACACATTCATTTTTATTTTTCCCAAAACCACCAAAAACAGATGTACATATGCCTCATCTGTAGTTATCTCCTGTTTTTTTGTATGTCACATTTATCATCATCATCAAAGTATTATTAGAGACACTCCTGCTTATATTTATCATCTCTAAGACCTATGTCTCTGTTAATTCCTTCATTTTTATACAACGTTTCTGAATAGCTTTTTGAGAGTCATACCATCAAATTTAGCATTTGTTAATTCTCTACAGTAAATAAAAGCTAGGCAATCGACTCCAAATTCACATAGTTGGATATTGTAAAGTCCACGTAAACTTTCTTATCTATTGTCATCATCATTAACAGATATTACTTTATTTATCACTTATTTACTTTACATCTAATATGGAAATCATTCCTGCCAAGAGCCTTACTAGCACACTGTCATTTCAACTCATCTTAATCCCTGGTAGATCTTCAAACTTTAAATCTACTATAACATTATGTACATTAAAATCTTTTTCTATTTAATTACTTTGGAGTTTATTTTAGAACTTAATATTATATATTAATAGTTAACAAAAAAACAAACTTTTCAAAATAATTTTTTATCAATGATTGTTCAGTCTCATTGACAATTAGACACATGACTTGATAATTATAAATGCTAGGAGGCTAGCAATTCTTACTCTTTACTGCTATAAAGTGAGTTTTGACAATTCTTATTACCTGCCTATTGCATGGCAATAATAATAAATTTTGAATCCTTTCAATTTTCCACTGCATTGCATTAAACAGTATTTAACATTAAATCAAGTAAATAAGCTTTGCAATTTGCATTTAGTTTTAAATTTGGTTGTGAGTATTTTTATTGATAAAATTCTTAAATCCAACATTATAATTTGATACTTTTGGTTTACATAATTTGATATTTTAATAAAACAATGAATAAAATAAATTTTTGTTATCATAATTAATACTATATGCTTTCATTTATATAAAGAAGCTTTACAAGTATATTAATTTGGGAAAATTAACAATAATGTTAAGAAAATATTCAAAACTGACTTTTCACTAATTATTTTCCTGTCTTTAATACATTACTAAATTTGACAAAGTAATCCCAGATTTTTAATTTCTGTTTAATTTACAAGTCAAACAAAAACATCCAATCTGATTTGTATGCCAATTACAAAAATGGACACAGTGTGAATGAAATGTCCACCATTCCGTTCAAAACCTAATTGGCCATAAAATTGTGAGTATCTAGACAGGCCATTTATTCATAGGATAATTCTTTATTTTATTGAAGTTTTAAAACAGAAAGATTTGAAAAATTTATTAATATTTTTATTTAATTTATGTAATAAAAGTCACAACTTTAAAGCCACATCCTGTAAAAATTATGATACTTTTTCCTTTTATGGAAAAATGGAATTTAAACTTTCTTCAATTTCCCTTATCTTGCTGTTGATCTGTCATCTGAGTCAGGGGGAAAATCCTGTTGATCATCAGTTCATCCCATCAGATAATGGATATTGTGGAGTGTGATTGGAGGAAAGGGGCAATAAAAAGGGCAAATTCCCATTTTCGGGGCAGTTCACGAAGATTTGGAATGCACCATATTTGACAAGCAGTCAATAGTATCTTGCAACTGCCCTAAGAAGAGGACAGTCATAGAGACCATAATCCACAACAGTCATGGAGAAGAGGACAGCCATATAAGAAGATTCGCCCCAAAAGGAAGCAGTCAGGTGTAGAAGTTCCATCTTACTACCATCCAACCCTCCTCTGTCTCCATATATTATATCATTTAGATTGCATCAACCAGAGGTATTCTTTTTATAGAATTATTTGTAAACTCTCTCTCGGGAATATATATATATATATGTTAGGAATAGAATAGAGATATAGATAAATATATCTAAGATAATGATATATCTATTCTATAAGATCAATGTATTCAAATGTATTTTGTTTTCATTCCATTAAATTTTTAGTTGTTATTTGTTAATCTGTCTATTGGAACTTTTCTTTAAAGATTGGACTCCTATCTCTAACTCACCATCCTCCCCACTCATAAATTAACATTCTTTTTAGAGATATCCTTAAATTCTAGATTGTGAGTTAAACCGCAATTGAAATTAATGGTTTAACTGGTATCAGTCCTGACTGGGTTGAAATCTAACGATCTTAATCTATATATTTTATGGCCATCCACAAAACACAGAGCGGGTTCTCTCAACCGATGCCGAGTAAGTGGTCAGAAAAGATCGACCCCTGGCCCTCGGATGCTCACAAAATTGTAAAAATGAAACTGAGGAGCTTCATGCTACGACAATATAATAATAATAAAAACATTTCTTAATTACGTATGCAAAACAAAGAAGTGCATTTTAAACAAAAAGAGTGTTGCAAATGCATTGTGTATGGGGATTTTCCTGGAAAGTTATATACAAATAATACAAGTTATAATTTAAATGACTGTTAAACTATATAGAAGTAAAACTATTTAGATTTAAATAATTTTAGTCCTAAATTATATTAAGAATTTTGAAACAAATGCTTATGTGAGAATCAGAACAGAAATTATAAAATGTATTAATTCTACAGGGTGCGGCACCAAAATCCGGACAAATTACACATTTTTTCCAAACATATTTTTTATTGCGAAAAGCGAAAAGGTTTACAACTTTTTTTTTAACCACATTGTAAGGCCATAAAGAATACATTTACTCAATACATCCCCCTGCTGCTTGAATGACTGTCTCCATTCTTGGTCTGAAGCGTGCACAGGCTCACTTTAATGCGTCCTGACAACGCGCTCCTTCAAGTGAGTTTTCCTTGTCAGTGTTGTAAAACCTTCATTGGACTTCTCCAACTCATTGTACTTGGCGACGACATCATACACAGTTGATCTCGGTTACTTGAAGAACTGAATGATTTCTGTCGCTGAACACCCAGCATGAACACTTTTGATAATCGCAGCTCCTTGGTTATACTCAACACTTGGTTTCAACATTACAACTGTTTCAAGGTTATGATGGTTTAGTACATGTGTCAAGCTATTTGAATTACAAACACAACATCTACCGGTGGTATAGAATGGCGGGAATTTGAAATTGAATTTTGTCTGGATTTTAGCACCGCACCATGTACATTTCATTTAAACAATCTAGAAAAATGACCCTAATCTGGATCTTAATCCAAATCATTTCCCTCTTCTTTTGATGGGGAAAGCAAAGATGTGTTCTTTTCTTATTTGGTAAAATTATTCTCCTTCCAAATATTTCTTAAATTAAAGTGGTAAAATACAAGGTGTGACAATTTAATTCCAGGACTGGTCGTGTAGCTTCAGTATCAGTGTGCAGAAACTTCACTAAGCTTGTCATAATAGTTCAACCATCTGGCTACTTGTCTGCAAAGATTTGTTCGTGTCTCTTAACTCGTTCTTTTTCTGTACTCCATTCAATATTGCTGAGAGAAAGTGCTGTCACGTTTTTGTCATGGAACAAAAAGTGAACATTAAGTTTTGTTACAAGTTGGGTAAAAGTGTAACAGAGACGTATGCCCTCATCAAACAAGTTTATGGGAATGATGCCCTATTCTGTTCGTGTTTTCGAGTGGTTTGCGTGTTTCAGGGATGGTCGGGAAGATCTTGAGGACAATGCTCACTCTGGATGACCTCAATCAGTTCAAACACCAGAAAACATCGAAAAAATCAGAGACTTGCTGTGATATAACCATCGAATGTCTATTCGGATGATAGTGGAGACAACTGGTATCAATCTGGAGAAAACTCACTTAATCATCACCGATGATTTGGGCTAAAGAAAAATCTGCTCCCACTTCATTCTGCACTATCTTACTGAGGACCAAAAGCATCTCCAGCTGGAAGCATGTCAACAGTTTATTCAAGATGTTGATGATGACCCCTCTTTACTGGATTCTGAAAATCAAAATCACATTGAAGGGATAAAGATTCGACGACCTAGAGGACATACAGCTCAATGTGACCAAGGAATTGAGAGCTGTCAACGAAAGTGACTTTGCCATGTGTTTCAAGAATTTGTACAAGCATTGCGAGAAGTGCATTGCCGTCCAGGGGGATTACTTTGAAACATATTAAAAGGGTTTTTCATTATATGTTCTTTGTGTCCTTTTATTACCACATTCCTGGAATTTAATTGTCACACCTTGTATATATTAATATATTTTTCACATCTTGTTTTCATTAACAGATGACACTTTTGTGCCAAAAGGGGAAATTGAACTTTCCTTCACAAGAACTTGTCTCTAATCTTAATGACCATCTGAATATCTAACCATCTGTACATCTGTCAGCAAACAAATTCATAATTTCTATTGGAGGAGACTTTGAATAAAAAGAGACAATTTCCAACTATTCAGGGAGTTCTTATCCGATTTTACTTTGGTGCTCGACCTCAAAGTCATCTTCCACCACTCCACTTACTCCTCAAACTGATGTCTGCTGACTTCACTGCCTGTGCTACCGCATTTGGAAGAAGATCAACGAGACACTCCAAATCCTTCCATCAAGGTAGTGTTTAAGTTGATGTAAACTCTCTCTCTCTCTCTCATGTCCAGATAGGGGCTTAAAATCTCTATGTATTTGATTTTTATTTTATTTTGTTTATTTGATGCAAAAAACTGGCCTCTTTCTTGATCTCAATTATCAGCCAAAGTCTTATTATGGATCTATGATCCCTCCCTCTCAGAAAAGTATATAAATATATTCAATAGCATGGCTAATGCTCAAATTAGGCTGGTGTCAGGAAAAATAGACAGGAAGATCATAAGAACTTCCTGTACCCAAATTAAATATTACTAACATCCCATCCAGTGACCCTGGGGCGAATCTTTCCAATCTGAAGCCGAACACAGGCAAGAAGCAAGCTTCCTTAGCTCCGGATTCCCACATTTATAACAAATCATTTATCCAATTTTAAAAAATAAAATTAAGAAATTATTTTAAAGACACTTTATAATGAATTTTAAGTATTGTATATAATTCTAAAGTTTGTAACTTTAAAATATCATTAATATCCACTTACTTTCAATGCTTCTAAGCCAGCTTGAATGGCAGGGCCCAAAATTATTTCAGTCTGTATCGAATCGGCAAAAATTATTGGAATCTGTTCCATTAAACTGAAATAACCAAATGCTTATAATTTTATATTAATTTAATAAGCAAATTTAATATTTATATACAATAATTGAGCCATTCACAAGCCATATCAATTAACTCTACATTTCAATTTTTTTTTATTTTAGTGTGAAAGCACTTGATATACTCGTAACTTTTTATATTCATAAGAAGTTTTCCTAATAATAAGAATCAATACCACTTAATGACAAAATTTTATTGGCCATCAAAAAAATTTTTATTTCAGAAGTCAATCTAAGTAACTCCATACTGTAATGTTAATCCACTAGCACACACTGCGATTGCAACGCTGCAGTGTGCGCTGACCAGTACTTTGTAAATAACGGTAAATTATTTAATGTTATCTCATCACAAAGTAAAAGTAATTAAAAGAAATTAGTTACAGTCCAACTGCCACAGAAGTATACTTAGGAAATACTGAACAATTGTTTTATTGAATATGGAATTTTGGCAACAATTGTTTTTAGAAAAAAGAAAACCCATTATATCAAGATGCATAAAACAAATAATTTTTTACATTCCTCCTATTAAACATGATTTTTATAAAAATTTAAGAACAAATCCACATGATGAGACTCAAATACAGCTGATGAAGACAACGTCATTTATGTTGCTGAATAATCAATTTAACCAAAATTTTTATTAATTTATTTAAATTAACTATTCTGTTACTGTTAACCATTGTAACAGGAACAGAATAGTTATTATTCATTTTTGCAAAAAAATTTTACTAAAAAATATGCACTAATGTGAAGACTGAATTTGATGTTATTGTGTTTTTCACTTGCCAAATTGATTAACTCCCTCAATCACACCAAGATCATAATAATAATAACGATTATAGCATATCTATGCTATCTTATACATTTTATATGTCATTAAATAACAGCTACATCTGCAATAACACATTCTACAATGTTTATTTGAATTTACATTTTACAAGGATAAAATTCCTTGTAAAATATAAATTCAAATATAAGTTCAAAAAGAACATATATTACTTTGTCACTTTTCTCCACTTTTTGTTTTATGGACTTAATCGATTTGGCGAGTGGCACAATTTTCAAATTCTTCATTAACAATTTAAATTTTCAAAATTATTTTGACAATATAATCTATATACCGTGTTTCCCCGAAAATAAGACATCCGCAGAAAATAAGACCTAGCACAGATTTTGCTGAATTGCGAAATATAAGACCTCCCTTTGAAAGTAAGACCTAGCGAAGTTTATTTTTAGTCGTAACGGTCATNTAGCAGAAAATACACTGCATTAACAAATAGTAAAAGAATATTTGAATTAATAGATACACTAAACATTCAGAGTAAATAGGAATTATGCCCTAATGGTGGTAAGTTTACCATATCGTTTGGTTAAGTTGTTAAAATAGAAAAAGTTCTTTTTTGTATTAATAAGATTAGGTAGATCACATGGCCAAGATATGCCTTGTTGGTGTAGTATGGTTTGAATTTCATTTTGTTCCCTTTCAAGTATCGGACAATGGAAAATATAGTGTTTGTTTCCGTCTTTGATTTGACATATAGGGCATAAAATTGTATTAAGTCCAGAAAACCTGGCGAAATAGCTGGCAAATTTCCCATGATTTGTGAGAAATTGAGTTATCCAGTGATTTGGTTTAAACCATTTAAATTTATAAGTTTCTTCGATACTTGGAAGAAATCTGTGTGTGTTGGATCCTTCACATTCATTCCATCTGCTTTGCCACTCATAAGTTCCAGCCATAGAATTCTTTTCACTACATTCATGCTTATTTTATTATATGAGACAGGGAGACAGGTGTTAGTGGCAGCCGGTTTTTCCTAAAAAGTCTGCCCGCTCATTTCTGACAGTCCCATGATGGGCCATTGTCCACTGAAAAGTGTACATATTATATGTACAAACCAGATGTTTGATTTTGGTAGATATAGGATGAAGTTTATTATTATGAAGTATAGCCAAAGAGGAGGCACTTTCACTAATTATTGTTATATAACAGTCATTATAGGTATCATTATTCCAGGTAACAGCCATTAAAATAGCAAACATTTCTGCCTGAAATATAGTTGATAATTCGCCAAGTTGGAACATTTGACTATAGATTTCCTGATTATGTGCATATGCTACAAAGGTGCATCCAACATAGCTATTTATTTTGGAACCATCAGTATATATAATAANAAACTTTCAGAGTAAATAGGAATTATGCCCTAATGGTGCATAATTCCTATTTATGCACCATTTATGTTTACCATATCGTTTGGTTAAGTTGTTAAAATAGAAAAAGTTCTTTTTTGTATTAATAAGATTAGGTAGATCACATGGCCAAGATATGCCTTGTTGGTGTAGTATGGTTTGAATTTCATTTTGTTCCCTTTCAAGTATCGGACAATGGAAAATATAGTGTTTGTTTCCGTCTTTGATTTGACATATAGGGCATAAAATTGTATTAAGTCCAGAAAACCTGGCGAAATAGCTGGCAAATTTCCCATGATTTGTGAGAAATTGAGTTATCCAGTGATTTGGTTTAAACCATTTAAATTTATAAGTTTCTTCGATACTTGGAAGAAATCTGTGTGTGTTGGATCCTTCACATTCATTCCATCTGCTTTGCCACTCATAAGTTCCAGCCATAGAATTCTTTTCACTACATTCATGCTTATTTTATTATATGAGACAGGGAGACAGGTGTTAGTGGCAGCCGGTTTTTCCTAAAAAGTCTGCCCGCTCATTTCTGACAGTCCCATGATGGGCCATTGTCCACTGAAAAGTGTACATATTATATGTACAAACCAGATGTTTGATTTTGGTAGATATAGGATGAAGTTTATTATTATGAAGTATAGCCAAAGAGGAGGCACTTTCACTAATTATTGTTATATAACAGTCATTATAGGTATCATTATTCCAGGTAACAGCCATTAAAATAGCAAACATTTCTGCCTGAAATATAGTTGATAATTCGCCAAGTTGGAACATTTGACTATAGATTTCCTGATTATGTGCATATGCTACAAAGGTGCATCCAACATAGCTATTTATTTTGGAACCATCAGTATATATAATAATATTGCTTTCATGTGTTTCATCAGTCATTTGAGGTGGAGGCAAACAGGGATTTATGGATTGGTCAAAAGGAGTCAAGAATTCTATATCATTAACATCTATGATATCTGTGGAAGTATCAATATTTTCTCTCCATTTAAGGTGGCAAATTCAGACAAAATATTTTATGTGAATGTCAATATGAGGTTTCCTTGTAATAACTTATAAGGAAGCATTTGGGGCCGTTCTATATGCTTTAGTGAGGAGAATTATAGCCTTTCTTTGTACAGATATTAATTTCCTTTTAGGATGGGTGTTGTGTGAGGCCGAACCCCAAACACCACAGGCGTAAGTGATTATCGATACAAAAAGTTGATTATAAATGATATCTAGAGCTTCATATGTAAGTCCCCATGTGCTTTGTCCAACCCTGGAGAATGTTTGGAAGATGAGGCCTGCACGCTTTGATATGTATTCTATGTGATCAGGCCGACAATAGTCTGCTATCCAGAATAACTCCCAGATATTTTATATTTTTTTTAATGGAAACAGAAACACCACCCATTCAAATCGTGGGTACTCATAAGTATAAGTTAGGCCTTCTAGGGAAGTTGAAAATTATGCCTTTGGTTTTCATGGCATTGAATTGTAATTTATGCTCTTTTCCCCATATATATATATTTTATCCAGAATTGCTGTCCCTTTATGCTCAAGGTCGTCTCTACTATTACCACTGACCAAAACCAACAGATCGTCAGCATAGGCAATAAGTCCATCCTGCCCAAAATTCTGTTCAAGAATGAGATCAAATGTAACTATCCATAACAAAGGGCCAATGACTGAACGCTGTGGACATCCTCTTACTACGTTCCTCCTAACTTCAATGGTTCCTTTTTGCATAATTGCAGTTCCGTCAGAAAGATAGTTTTGTAGTATTCTATATATATTAGCAGGGCATCTCTTCTGTCGCAGTTGATACAATGTTAATGGCCACCAAGTGCTATCAAAGGCCTTGCTAATATCAAGGCTGATAGCAAGCACAAATCTGTTATTATTATTTATTATATGTTTTATAATTTTAGTCGATTCATATATAGCATCAGTTGCAGACCTTTGATGTCGAAATCCATACTGGGAATTACTGAGAAGTTTATTTGTTTCTAGGTGCCATATTAGTCTATTCGCAATGAGTCTCTCTAGCATTTTTCCCATGAATGGGAGAAGAGAGATAGATCTTAATTCTTCAGATTGCCTGGCTTGGGTACAGGAATTGTGTGCAATTTTCCATTTGTCTGGGAAATAACCTATAGAAAGGCAGGTATTAAATAGCTCTTCAACCTGTTCTGGAATAATATCCCAGATTTTTCTCACGATAGTAGCAGTCATGCCATCCACACCAGGGGCTTTACCATTCCTGAGATGAGTAATTGCATTATGTATCTCATGTTGTTGAAAAGGCAAATCTTCATATTCCACCATTTTTGTGATCATATCTGTTTTGTCTGAGCATGCTTTGCCAGAGATTATCCTCAGTATGAGAATCAGAAATGCAGAACTTATCTATTTGTTTATTGAGTATGTCTATGATGTTTGTAGCTATGGAGTTGTTGTTAGTTAAAACTTGTGGTCTATGCAACTTGTCAGTACAAATCATGGTGATATATTCCCAAGGGATTTTTGATTTCCTGCTGCAGTATTCTTTCCAAGATGTAATTTTAGTGTCTTCAATTTTTCCTTGTATGTTTTCTACTTGTCCAAGTATATGTTTTTAAGCCTAGTTCTAGTGGGTTCGCATCTACATCTTTGGTATGCTCTTCTGCATTTGTTACATGTTTTTCTTAATTCACTAAGTCTAGAAGTCCACCAAGGAATAGGTCTTCTCATTATAGTTTTCGATATGAATAGTTCACAGGCATGATTGATTGTAGTAATATTTTGAG